TTTCAAATTTACTTTATTTAATTAGTATTTTAATTTTTCTAAAAAGGACATGTGTCATTCAATGAAATTTAAAAGCTCTACTCATGATAGATAAAATAATTCATATTAATAAGTAAAATTATTTTAATAATAAAATGAAAAAAATATTATTCGATCTTCATGAAAGTTCCATGATTATTTAAGTTGTTAGCTTAATTGATTAAAGTTCGTCTTTTTCGATAAAGAAATATTAAGTTCGAGTCTTGTCGATGATCATTTATTGAAGTTATTTCGAATGCAAGACCTGCAGTTATTTATCTCAAATGCAAGACCTGTAGTTACTTGTCTTATGCTGATAAGTATGGTATATCTTATCCTAACCTAGAAGACTAAATTATCTAGTTACCTTTGGATATTTTCTTACCAAAAAAAATATATATAGACGTACATAACTAATTCCACGCACATAATTCTGCACATGCATGAATTGGCCATGCAGTTTCCTTAACACAAAAAATAAGGAAAAGTGTTGTACCTACCTACTTGTTGTCATCTTATGGCCAGTGCATGCTGTAAATAAGTATATATAGAGGTGTTTATTGCAACATTCGAAGCACAACACAACCAAACCAAAAGACACAAAACTACCATGGCTGCCAATTCAACACTACTAGCAATACAATGTGGCGCTGGTGTTCCACTACCACGATGCCATCTTCGTAGAAATTTGGTAACCAAAACACACAAACTGCTATCATGGCTCCCACTCCAGCAGTGCAATTTGAAGCTGGTGCCCTAGTGTCCACACCATCCCAACTTCAAAGAAATTCGGCAACCAAAAGAGACAAAACTGTCGTGGCTGCCTATCCAATAAGCATAAAGTTTTCAACGGATATTCCAGAATACACAGAGTGCATCCTTGAGAACTTTTCTGAAGAAGATCTGCACCTGGATGACCGTATCATTTGGGAAGGGTCTAAGTCTAAACATTTCCCAACAGAAATTCCAAAAGGAGAGATGCGTGAGTTTAAGCACGAAGCAGATTTTGGATGTCCAGTTGTTGGTTCAGTTGTCGGTCTTGAGTACGTATTCGGAGAAGGAAATAAGTATAAGTGGATAATTGCCTGGAGCAATTCAAAAAATGAACTCAACAAGGTACTGTAATCGTGACATACAACAAATTAAACCATTTTTTTCTTTTAGAGACGGGAACAGTCGGGTTGAGACTGATAAATTACACTTGATTCTGATATATCTTGATAGTATTTTTTATATCCAACATATATATCTATAATTTGCTTCGATCCATATCTTATTTGAAATTAGTTTAATAATTTTAATTTAGTTTTACACTAAAAGAAATAGTACTTTTAGTGAAGAAAAAAATTGTCATTAAAAATATAAAATTTAGTCACTAAAATTTATAGTGACCAAATTTAGAGTCGTCACTTGTTGTCATAAATAATTCTGTCACTATATATTAGTAACGATATTTATTAGGTCGTCACTATAGCATTTCTTTTTTAAGACACAAATTTTGATATTAAAAGTATTAGAATATGTAATTAAAATAAGTTGTCACAATAACTCATTTTATTATGATAATTTTTTCAATACTAAAAAAATTGAAATATTGACGAAAAAAGTTATCACAATAACATGTGTTCTTGTAAGGATAATATTGACTTTAAAAGTAAACAGTAGTTATAAAACTACAGTCACTCATGCTATTTTTATTAGTGATAAAATTTTTTTGTACTAGTGTTTGTTGAAATTGTGTCAAATGAATTATATTACAAATATTAAAATTATTTCTTGCAATAACTATTGTCATTAATAAATTAGATATTATCGCAACAAAATTTATCAATTTATATATTAAAAAAAATCATCAGTGACTATAAAATATAAATTGTCACAAAAAATTACATTTGTAGTTGATGAACAGCCCTTCCATTAAGCTACATAGAAAAACTTATATGCCTAATCAACTATTATTTCAAGCATTAGGTAATTGATTAGACATATAAGCAACTTGAAACCCATCTGTAGTATGAAAAATATTATGTTGTGTATCACTTGAATTTGTCAAAAATTTGCGTCGTAAAATATTAATCATTTTATTCTTAAAAACTAATTAATATTTTAATTAAAATACATAATCATAATCATAATTCTTTAAGTTAGAAAAATCAATTATATAATAAAATTTTGAATAAAAAAATCAATTATCTAAATCAAAATAAAAAAAAAAATAAATATTTTAATCATATTAAAGACAAAATTTAAAATAAAAAAATTACCTCAAAATAAAAAACATATAAATATATAAAAAAAATTTGAAAACAAACTTGAAAAACTTCGAAAATGGACTTGACAGAGTTGACGGCCAAATCTATTTCAGTTTATATTACCTTTTATTTATTGCGTTAATGGAAAAAAATCGTCGCTAAATCTAATTAAAATTTGTTCCTCCCCTAATTTTTAGCAGCAAATTAAATGTTTAGGGCTAGGTTTGACACTTCTATGATTTTTGTACCGTAACTTTTGACTAATCTAAAAAATTAATTGGAGGGAATATTTAGGTGGCATTTTAGTGACCATTCACTGAAAACTTACAATAAAATAGGCGAGAATTGTCGGCAATATTTTTTTTTTTTGTCATCATTAAATGGTGAATATGATATCCAATTATTTTATTACAATATAATAATTTATTACATAAAAACTTAAAAACAATTCAATAGTTTATCACTAACAATTAGTTTATTACAAACAATACAATCGTTTATTTCCATAGTTTATTATAAAACTAACTGACTTATACATTAAATATAATATATAATTCGATTACGTGTAATTTCAAACCGTCTTTTAAATCTTTATTACATGAAAAATTAAATATAATATTAAATACAATAAATATTAATACAGTTATTAATTAAATATTATTTTTATATTTTATCCTTTATTCTTAAAATTAAATGCATTTCATATTAAATAATAATATTTGATAATATTAGAAATTTCTATGACTGTCATTTAACTTTGATTTTTTTTTTCAATTTTATACAATGATATGATAATATTTAATTTTTATTGTTATTTAAATATTTATGGATTATTATTTTATTATTATTATTATTAATTATGAATATATCATTAATAAATTAAATTATTATTTTTTAAACTCCTATTAAGATATAATAATATAATTTCAATATGAAAAAAAATTAGTATACCATAAACAAATTTTTTATAATGATCACATGGGATGATTTGGAGATCCTTGCCTTTAATTTGACCACAATAATCTAGCAACTAAATAAATCAATTAAATCAAACTAATTTGATTAATCCATCAACTATTACATTAATTTGAAGATACGTACTTAATTTAATTGATAATATTTAAAAAACAATTGCATTTTTTTCTTGCTCTTTCAAATCTAAAGTTGTAAGTCACAAAATGAATAATGTCAATATTATATGAAAATATAAATCATTCTCAAAATATAAATTATACATCTGCATGTCACAACATCTATTTTAAATATTTTTATTGATTATAAATTTTTATTTTTATATTTTCTTTTAATATTGTGTTAAATTTATGTTATGTTTTGTAAATACATATTAATATGCCTAACATTAGTTATGAATTTTTAATATTAATAGTTTTAATATATTTATTTTTAAAAGCCTTTTACAATTGTTATTTTAATAAAAATTAATAATACATAAATTGTTATTGCAATAAAAAATTAATATCTTAAATTTCTCAATATAAATTACGACAAATAAATTTTTAGTTATTATAATATTTCTAATAGTGACGATTTTAATTGCCACTAATAAATTTGTAATTGTGATGATATATAGTTGTTAATAATATGTTATGTTTAATAGTGACAAAAATTTTCAAAACAAAAAATAAAGTATTATGTGACAAATTATTTTTTCATCACAATAATATCTAATAATAGTAACAACTTTATATGTCATCACTAGTACATTACTTCTCGCAAAAAATACTTGCCGCCAATTTATTCACTTTATTAATGATGATTCTATAGTGACAAAAAATATTGTGTCAAAATAACATCTTTATTGTGACGATTTAATTGTGAAAATGTTTAAACTGTCACAATTATTATCTTATTAGTGACCGAATAACAATATGTCACAATTACTTATTACAATAGTATTATAGAAAAATTGTCATAAAAAATTTAATAATTGTGACAAAATAACTCACAATCACAGTAAATTGTTACTAAAAATCTTAATTGTTGTAGTGTTATATTCATAAATTATTATTTTTTAAAAAATTTTATATCTTAATTATATATAAATATAGATTTTTATTAAATTAATATTTTAAAATAAATTATTAAATAATACTTTTATTAATATATAATATAAAATTAAATAAATAATAAAATATATTTTATATATTTTCTAGGACGGATTGAGGCAAAATATGCTAAAACCTCCAAACTGACCCGGTTTAAAAAATCTACCTCTATCGAATTTAGAACAGATTGAATTCTGTTGAATAGAAGTTGTTTTTCCATTTTTATCGGATACACCATTTAAACCTTGAAATAATCAATTAATGTATCAACTGCAGGTTTATACTGAGATCATTGAAGACGAAGTTGCTGAATTGGGATAAATCAAACTCAGTCTTGAGAAATCTGGGCAACACTCTGTAGCTGAGAAACTTCCGTTCTTGTCAGAAATTGTAATTGATCCAACCAGCGCTACGCCAACAATGAAGGCAACATTTAAGCTGCGTTTGCTTGTCGATGATAAGCCAACGTCAAAAGCATAGGCTGGCTTTGCTTGCTGATCAAATCGTGGTCATAAGGCTGTCAAAATGAATAAAAATGTGGTCGGTGCATCATGCGTTCACCACTACTACTAGTAGAATAAATTTGACAGCCAGTAGAGTATTTTAGTTATGTACGTGTTTAATTATTGTGTGGTTTTTATATGTAATATTTCAGAGTATCCTCAAATTTAGGCCTTTAAACTTATGCCATTGCCATGTCTATATATGGCTATTTGTAATATTTCATCATAATATTAAAAAATAAAAGCCTTTATTAACTCATAATGTTATATGTTGGCTCCAGCATATTAGTTTAATTGCATCAACCCTTCAAAATTATAACTAATAGTTTAATTGCATCAACAGTTCGAGACTAAAAAAAATATATATATATATATATATATATATATATATAGAGTACCATCTTCAACATCTTTTTCTAAAAAATATAAATCAAAAGATCAGAGTCATAGGTGATCACTAATTTCTAGAAGAAAATCCTTAAGTCTCATGAAAATAATAAATCTAAAAGTCTGATGCTCTTTTTTTTCTTTTTCATTTTTTATATTATTGAATTTTATTTCCTTAGTTTCTTTTTTATTATTTAGTTTAAATATTCTATCTTTATATTTTCATAAAAATGTGAAATTCAAAAAAGAACATAAAATGAAAAGTAAAAATGGAAAATAAAAAAAGGAAAATATTTTTGGAAAAATCTGAAATTAATTCGGATTGCAATTCTTTTGGAAAATGGAGTTTTGTTAGATTGAATCAAAAACCAAAATTTCAGTGAATCAACAAGAATAAAATTTTGGAAACCAACTTTATTTATTTATTTTTTTTTGGATTTAGTGTCATTTTTGAGTGGGGATTAATGCCCTTAAAAAAAAAGCACACCAACAAAGCAATACAACATTTCCTCAAGTATTTATTATATAACTCATTCAAATAAATTTAAGTATTTTCTTATAAATTATATCCGTCAAGCCAAGGTTTTAATGAAATACCATGGAATATGGAATTTATTAGATTAACATAAAAAGTTATAATCTTAATTTTATGCAACAAAATATTAAAAATTTATTTTCAATTTTTGCAAATGTGAGGGTTTATTTTATTACTATTCCTTTATATTGTTTACTTTTCAACTTTATTTTTTTTTCTACATTTCGTCATTTTATTTCTGTTGGCACTTTCGTATATGAGTGCTTGTTAATAAAAATTATGTAAACTAATTTATATCATAGGATATGTAAAAATATTTTATTCTAAAAAACTAAAAAAAAAAAACAATGATACATAAAAATACATTAATTTT